GATGGGGGCTGGGACTCGGCCGGCCAGGCTGCACTCCACACGGGCCCCTCTGCCCACAGCCCAGGGCCACAGCCTTACCCTCTTGATGATGCGCCCCACGTCCTCGGAGATGTGGCCAAGGCGCTGGGCCAGGGGCCCGGCCAGCAACTCACCGAGGGCCGCACTCTCCCGGCCATGCTGCCGAGTCTGCTGTAGCAACACAGCCCAACAGTGCACGGGCGACAGGAGGGACGGCTCCTTCCTGGGGGCAGAGGGGCCCTCAGCCCAGGGAGCAGGAGCCCCGGGTCCCCCGCCACCCTCCAGTACCTTACCCACCGGAAGCTTTGGTGCGGAGAAGCGCTCAGCCAGCTTGTCTAGGCCCCGGGAATACTCCAGCTCCACCTCGGCGCGGCGCCGCATGAACTCTGCCAGCTCCTGCAGCAGCTCCCGCCGCAGCTCCCCCTGCAGCTCCAGACCGCGCAGCGCATTTCTGCAGGGGGACCATGGCTCAGTCTGGCCAGCGCACATGGGTGGGAGAGGCAGAGGTACCCTGACGACCCTGCTCATCAGCTCTGTCACCCCATCATGACTGGCCTAGCCAAGCTGGGCTCAGGGAAGCCTCTGCGAAAGGACCCTCGGTGTTGAGGCCGAAGCAAAGTGGCAGGTCCCCGCAGGTTGAGGTGGAAGAGGAAGGGTGCCCCAGTGAGAGGGGAGAGCCATGCAAAGGCTGAGAGCACAGCTGTGCTGCCTGGGGAGCTCGAAGCTGATCCCCATGGGCAGGCAGAAGGCAGCCCTGACTTGCCTGTGGCTTCCTGACCCTCCCTGGTCCCTCCCTCTTGGTATCTAGGGCTTGGGTGTAGCAGCTGCCCTGTACGCGGGCTGCTCAGGTCCAGGCACCGGGCACTCTGCTGGGCCTCGATGACCTGGTGGCCTTAGCCCCAGCCCCTCCACCGCCCCTGGCCACCCTGGAATCCTGAAGTGCCTTCTTCCCACTGAGCTGGCAGACAGCTGGGAGAATGGCAGCCTGGTCCGCTGGGCCAAGTGAGCGAGGCGTAGGGTCCCCCTACCCCTCCTGAGGCTGGCCCCCAGCACCGACTGGTGGCACTAACACCACTGGAAATACAATCAGGGCAGGTACCATTTGGGGGATAAAAGTAAATGTCATTTAATTCCATGGACATCCCTGGGCCACTCAGCTCAATACCCCTCCCCTCCGCCACGTCTCGGCTGCTGCCTTAGCCTCGTACTGCCCCTCTGCCCAGCAGCTGCTGGGGTGCACCAGCATGGGGGAGCATGCCGCGGCACCCCTAGGCTATGCCCTCGCAGACCGTGTCAGGAAACACCTTTTCCCCAAACTAGGCCTGGCCTCTTCCTGCCCTGTTTCTGGACACCCCGGCTACCCTGGTCAGGACTGAAGTGAACTGCAGGGCCAGATGTGTACCGCCCCCACGCGGCCCCGCGCCCGGGGCTGCTCCCTCGGTTCAGCGCTGTGCTCCCAGGGGCTAGCACACACGGCTGGCGAAAGGACAGGACGGGCAGACGCCATGCCAGGCC